GGTTAGTAGGTAAAGGGAGGCTCTCCTCCCCCTCTATTCTGCATTAGTGAGGCCACATCTGGAGTATTGTGTCCAGTTCTGGGCCCCTCAGTTCAAGAAGGACAGGGAACTGCTTGAAAGAGCCCAGTGCAGAGCTACAAAGATGATTAAGGGAGTGGAACATCTCCCTTATGAGGAAAGGCTGAGGGAGCTGGGTCTCTTTACTTGGAGGAGACTGAGGGGTGACCTCATCCATGGTTACAAATATGTAAAGAGTGAGTGTCAGGAAGATGGAGTTAAGTTTTCAGTGATGTCCAGTGATAGGACAATGGGCAATGGATGCAAACTGGAGCACAGGACGTTCAATGTGAATATCAAAAAAACCTTTTCCTGCGAGGGTGACAGAGCCCTGGGACAGGCTGCCCAGAGGTTGTGGAGTCTCCTTCTCTGGAGACATTCAAAACCCACCTGGACAAGTTCCTGTGTGAAGTGCTCTGGGTGATCCTGCTCTGGCAGCGAAGTTGGACTGGATGATCTTTCCAGGTCCTTTCCAACCCATAGGATTCTGTGGTTCTGTGAATCGTTATAGGGGCCCTTTTTGTAGACAGGAGGTGCTAAGACGTGTTGTGTGTTTTACCGATAAGCACATCACTCAGACAAGGGAAGTAATGAATAAGGGTCTTCTCCAAAAACCCAGCCACAACCGGTTTTGCAGCTGCTACCCCCGCCGAGCTGCCTCTTCCAGCCTTCATGGCCACCAGGGAACAGCGCGCAGGAGGGAAGGGGAGCACCAGTATTATAATGATGCGGGAAATGTTCAGCATAATCCTGCCTGTTCTCAGATATAAATGAATATGTATGTCTTCGCTGTACAAATAGATCAAGTCTGTGTCTGCCGTGCGTGCGCTTTCGGAGGAGCCACGTGCGGTGCCGCAATCAACGTACCTGCTGTGCAGCTACTCCGGGCCCAAAGTCTTTTTACTGGCGTTGTGCGCGAATCACCGGGGCAGGCACATGTGAGGGGACAGGCCTGATGGCAGCTGGCACGCTGGGAGCACCAAGCCCAGCAGGGCGGGCTGCAGGGAGGGCAGGCAGGGGCTGCGGGGCCCAGGGCTGAACCCGAGCCTGACACCGGGGCCTGTGCTGGGTCATACATCATAGGATATCAGTTAGTAAATTCAATAGAAATATCGCCTAATAAAAGTTTACTAAAATAATGAATTTGCTAAGTGTTGCTTTTAAAGCAATGTGCTTTGTGAAAGTATCAGTCAACTATGCCAAGCATCCTGCAGGTTGTGATAACATCAAGCCTTCCAAGAACCTGTGGCCCAACAGACACACTCGTGTTGGTTCTGACCCACCTGGGCAACCTACCGGGGCAGCCTGGAGACAGGAGCAGGAGGGGAGACAGGACAAAGAGGACAAAGGACTAGAATCAACAAAGGCCCCCCCAGGAGACCCTCAAGCAGGCATCATTACAAAGACAGCAAATTCCAGAAAATGAAATGACTTGTGTAAAAGAATTCTGGGAACTCACTGACATGGAACTGAATATGCCTGGTTTTGGTGTGTACGAGTTGGGGTGTTTCAGTGACTCATTCGCACTCGTGGTGGAAAATCCCCAGCGCTGCAGTAAAGTGCCTGCTCAGTAACAGCTTGTTTGTTGTTGTTGGGTCTTGATCTCGGAACCCTTACCCAGCCGCACCAGCCTCCCACTGCGGTGAGGAGGGTTAGAAAGCAGGGGGGTTTGGAAGCTCCGACATTTTTGTTTCACGGGGCTGCAGCCGGGGCCT